CAGAGCCGAGATGGACTGACAGTGCTACTATGACAAACGTGAGCACAGCAAAGGTGAGTCTGGCATGGCATCAGGCAACGCTTCCCTCTTACTGTCCCTAAATCACGACGGGTTGGAGACAAGTTGATGGCACCTAACAGCCTGTCAAGACCATATTCTCAGGTCCACAGATTTATCATGGGTACCTCAAAAAAAAAATGTAGTTACGATGGTTCCCTTATGTTCTGCTTCTCTGTCCACTGTTAGTGCTTGAATGGTTCTTCACAAATCATTTGTGTTCACGGTAGTAAATGGTGAGTTCACTGCCTAGAAATACTCAGGCACTTTTATGAGGCATGATGAAATTTTTATTTAGCGGAGCAGTCATGAATTAAACAGGACCCAGCGCACTCAAAGAGTTCATGCTCCTCCCCAAGTGCCCATGTTATACAACACCACAGCTTAAGATGAACTCCAAGTTTAAGACCAATAACGTCATCTTTTGCCAAAGGGGTTTATGACCTAGTTACACAAATTACTTCTTATAAAATAAGCCCTCCAATACCACATGGTGGTTCTGTGTAAGCTAGTAAGTTTCTTATTGAAAATAAGTAGTATAAGTAAACCATTGCCACTGAGTCAGTTCTGACTCGTAGCAAGCAACCTTGCAGGACACAGTAGAATTTCACCACTGGGTTCTTAAGAATATCTCTCTTTCCAGAAATAGACTCTTGGTTTGGTGGGTTTTGTTATTGTTGTTGTTGTTGTTGTTTTTAGTCTTCAGGTACCTGGAGTATTTGAACTGCCAACCTTCAGGTTAGCAGAAAAATTCCTTAACCACTGTGCCTCTAGTTTTTATTATTAGGAGCCAACAAGTTGACTATAATTCATAACAATCTAATGAAACACAGATCTGAACCATGACCTATCCTGTGCCATCTGTAAACTATACTGCATACTTCAAACCAGTTGCATCAAGTCAATTCAGATTTCGAACATCCCAATGTGGGTATCAGAGTAGAACTGTACTCCATG